TGTTTTCATTTTTATTTAAAAAAATGCCGAATTTTGAGTTCAGTAGTTTCTGTTGGAATAAAAATAAATATAAACGATACAGTAGTTCATTTTAGATCGTATTAAGTTTGCTTATCCATCCTTTGCATGTGAGGAAGGTATGTTTTTAAAGTTTTTCTTAGTTTTAGTAGATTTTTCAAAATGAATTAATGAGTTGAAACAGAAATATAAAACCTTACTTTTTAATAAGAGTTGTTTATCGTAAAAATAATGTCAACATAATGGTGTAGATTAATTTCAGTCCGTGGTCAAATTTAAGTAAGTAGAAGCCTTAAGGGCTCTTAATGAATATTTTTTAGATGCGATTTCCTTTTATGAAAAAAATCATTAAGTTGCTCAGTTTAATAATGATTTAAGAAATCAAAGATAAGAAACATTTCTGGCATCTACTTTTTAAATTATGTTTGATTTTTTTTCAAAATCTCACTGAATAAATTACATACACTTCGTAACACAACGGTCCAGCTAATCTTGAAAAGAATGAGTCGTAAATATATATAGCCAATAAAAGCTTACTTAAAATTTAATAATTTAATTTTAGTCGTTTTTAAGCCTTGTTTAAGTACTTAATTTAAAAACGTATTTGTTATTACTTTATTTATAGCGCAGTTTATTAGTTTTATTGTTTTTAACAAAAACAAATCCTTGATAAGTACTGCATTTATACCTACTCGTTAAAATTAAAATTTAAAATTTAAATTATGGTAAATAAAGCCCACATGGAATTATATACTTATTAAAAAAAAGACATAATATTCCTTTTCTTTGAAATTGCAAAATTTTAATCCATTGTAACAGTAAAAACAATTGATTAAGGCATGAATGCTAAAAAATCAGGGAATATTAAAATAGAAATTCAGAGAAATGTACAAAAAAATCGAAACTCCGATTTTGTATATATAACGAAGAGCCTTTCTTCTGAGAGTGACAGATGTTCTCGTGCAATAAACAGACGCTTGAAAATTTTGCAATTTTTGAATATATTGTTAGAAACACGAAAATGTTTTTAAACACTGCCACCTAGACATTTGTTTTCTCTCAATAATTGTGTCAATGTATGCAAACAGTCAACATTTTAATTTTTTTATGAATGATTTAGTCCTAAAATTTTGACAGTGTTTTTTCGAATATGGTGTCCGACAATTTTAAAATTTTAAATCTGGCCACATAATGTCATGCAATGTTTATTTTTGCACACGGATCAAGTACTCTAACTAAAAAAATTACTTGTCGAATCCATGAAAAAAGAAAACATTTTAAAGCGCAATAATTCTTCCTCGATGATGCCAGCATGTATTATTTATATTACTTTCGCAAAGATGCCATTTGCATATAAACAAGTGTTTATACGAATTTTGTCTACGCTAACAAAGTTATAGACGAACCTGCCAATTTCGCTTAATTGAAACATCGTATATTTATGTTCTTCCAATTGTTTCGTAATTTAAAAAAAATAATGAACTAGAAATAAATATTCCAAGCGAGAACCGTTAACGGATCCTTTCAGCAAACTTTCGACATAAATTGTATTAACTAAAAGATAAAGATGAAGATTTTTCTAATGAAATAATGGAACCAAACAAATGACTCATTTACATATGTCTAATCTCAAAAATTCATTCATAAAAACACATCTACTATTTATAATGAATATTTATGAATCAAACAAACGCATAAAATATGATTTATTTGTTTTAAAAGATTAATGGTGTGACTAGATTAGTAGAATGCTAAAGTAAAAGCTTTCAAAACCGCTCCACCCCCTCATTGTTAGTTCCCGGAACGATTTTTTCACAAGCAGACCTAAATAGACCGGTAATTATACGTTTTGAAGTTTGCCCATAATTTACACGAGCCGGTGAAGAGTAGTACTAACTGTACCGACCTACCTTCGATTGTATTCTACTCCAATTAGGCACAACTTATTCGACGCTCAATGATAACCAGTAAAGGTCCCACGGATAACAATCTCCCCTATCAAGGGTCCATAGGGGCACACTTCATAGAAAAATGCAATTTTAATTTATATAAAATAAACTTCATAGAACTGTGTTAGTGACAACTATACCCTCAGATCAAATGAGCCTAAAAAAGTCCCCGTGCGAATAATGTGATAATCTAGGGGAAGTTAGGCTAACAATGCCAAGCGGACGTTCACCTCCAGTTTTCCACCAACCCTACGAGCACGAAAATCTAGCCAACAATATGAAATCGGGTGTGTATTGAACCAAATCGAAGAAGACGATCTGAATGCATAATGTACAAGTTAGGTTACAGCTTTGAGATCCGTTGAATGTTCGAACAAGAATAGCGTTTGGAGGTAAAGACTTTTTGCCAGTATATAGCATCAAGTTCTTCTGCGAAGTTCATCTTTATGTATATAACAATAGGTTGAAGGCAGTCTCTGCATGAGTCTTTTAGATAAACTGAAACACGTCTTTGTACAAGTGTTAAAAGTACGTTTTCAGCAGGGCGACAACTGTATTTTGTGAATATGTTTTGTGGTAACTACCTAAATATTACCATCTTAAGGTTCAAAATTTCGTCTTTAAATAAAAATGAAATTGAAAAAAATGTCAACAGTGACGATTTTTGGACGTTTTTATAAATTTATGTAGGTGACAATATTTGGAACATATACTGCTCCAAATAATGCCCTATGCTAATTTGCTATAGATATAAAATAAAATGAAAAATCTTTTTATTTAGTTATAAACAATTTTTACCTTTTATTAAATAATAAAATAATATAATAATAATAATAATAATAATAAAAATATATGTATACATTGTATAAAAATTGGTCTAAAGTTATTTAGTCATAACTCCCTCGTTCCTGAAGTGCAATAGAAAAGAATCTAGTTTCTTAGATTAGTTAGAAAGTGTTATTCATTTTTTTTTGAGTGATTATAAAGAATTCTAATAAATAGGTAAGTATGAATTCATTTATAACCATAAAAGTAAACTCGTAATAAATATTTTGCACGTTCTGGATAGGATTTATCCAGAAAAATTTTAAGATGATGTCATCAAGTTTTTAAAAGGGGCAAACAGATAAATTTAGAACGGCGATTTTAAAACATTTCTGATTTTTTTCCAAAAACTGGAAGATTGAGCTAAAAAGTACAAACGGATTTATAAACTACACGCATATTTATAAAATTCAAAAATAATTTATTTTGCAAAATATGTAGGTATAGGTATAATACTCCAACTGCTGGTTCGTTTTTATGACTGTATCCTATTGTGAAGGAGTTAAGTGTTCCACAATAGGCCTCTGCCGTAAGTAATCTAGCGGTCATAAACCGTTAAGGGAGCAACTGTCCACACTACACAGGGCCGTATGCGCCCGTAAACCTTTAACATGATTTATGGCATGGCTATTTACATTTTCAAAAGAGTTCCTAATACTTGCGGTAATTGAGATTGCAGTGCCATAAAAACGAAGTCAGAGTTGGACCACTATATATGTAGGTACATCTAAAATTTCACAACAATCGGTTCAGTAGTTTCGAATCCTCTGAATAATAAAATCGCCAACAGACAGACTGTTTTATATTTTAGGAATCATGAAAAGTCGGGAAAACATGAAAAGCAATCGGGAAGTAAAAAACAACACAATCTGAAATATTTGCAAATATTTTTTACTTAATTGCCAAATAATACCTACTTTTATCGAATGTATTTATACCTACATAGGCGTCATAATATATTTACGCCTACGGAAATTTTAAATCTTTTGTGTAAGGGTATTTTATTTTTCCGATATATGTATGTATTAAAAAAACATAGTCTTGGGAATTATTAGCACAATGTATGATATCTTCACGGTTTCAAAACTTAAGCTTATTATTTGCATTATAAGTCAGTCGTTGAGATCATTTCAAGACAATGTTCTGCTTGCCATGGATGTTATCTTTACTGGAGCAATGTGCTTTCATACGGTAAGAACATAATGTACCTACACATGATATTTAAAAGCGAAGACATATTTTTCCCGCAAAAAAACATTTATGTAGATGAGACTACCAAGTGGCCGAATTTCTGAAAGTAAAACTAATAACATAATACAGTTACCTAGTGAAATTTTATGTCAGTATACTATAATGATGTTTTGATAATATTTTTATTATTAATAATTCATTTAAATAACGCTGTGATATAAATTCCAGTGTCATTTATTAATGCTAATTTTAAGCAAATGTGAACGGCTTGAATATGATAAATTATTAATTGAAATGTCAATCAGTTCATCAAATCTGTTTGATGTGGGCGTTAATTTTAGAATTTATATTCCCGGACGTTTCACAACAACAATAGAAAAGTAAATAATAGCTATTAATGTTTGTATGATACATGTCATAAATTTAGTAGATTAGGTACATATTTTTTAAAATTTTCTTGCGTTAAGGCTCGTCCACATTTTGGCAGAATCTCTCGTGTTCTTTTCCCAAACCTCTCCTTGAAGTATAGTCGCGGTCAATTAATCAAATCCCGGGGTGTACAGACGCGTCAATAAAACCGTGTGTATGTTGTCTAATTAGGAATTTAGACAAGTTTTCTCGAAAGCTCCGCCTCATTGTTTGCGCACGCACACGTAGGCGTTCCCCTATTCTAATTAAGCGCTCTTAAAAAAAAAGCAAACATGTAAATGTCAACCGGCCGTCTCGGTTCGTAAAAAACCGTTTAAGTACAGTCTCCAACCTGTTTGTTTAAAAAGCGCCTATGCCATAAGTGTAATATCCTCGCATTTACCCAACTAAACCCGTTTCCCGAAGTGAAAATAAAAGGCGTGGCGTCTCGTTGTAATTCCATTTGTATTGCTCTCGGCAGCCAATCCCGTCGTGCCATTATAACACGGGGGCCGTCCGCGCAGCACCTATCATTGCACACTCCTCCCCTCCCCATCGGGTGGCTCAACCACGTTCCCCTCCCGATCGCGTTTCGACTTGATCCGTTGCTTATTAGCTGAAGAGGTTCGGTGTCGGTAGCACGCAGTTCTGCGCTAAGTAGCCCCATTAGACACTTGTTATCACGTAATTATCATGCTCCTCTGAGTGCCGTGTAGTCTGTGTCAGTGCGGTGGACATGTGGTGTGAGTTTCGCCGACGGGAGGTGACGATGGGCTGCTGAACAACTGCGACCATGATGCCTCTGGCACCGACTCCCATCGTGGCGGTGCCGTCCAAGCCCAAGATCGGTTTCTCCATCGACTCCATCGTGGGCCAGAGCCCCCAACACTCGCCGGTGCACTTCTCCGAGGGCTCGGCGCCGCTGTCTCCGGGTAGTGACGATCAGCGCGCGAACGGCTCCTCGTCGCCGCCGCGTTCTCCTCCCGCCTCGCCCAAGCAACCCATCATGGTGCCGGGCATCCCGGCGCACTCGCTGGTGCGGCCGAGCCCCACGTACGACCCCAACCTAGTGCCCAAGAACGGATTCCTGCAGCCGGAGATGGTGCACAACCACCAACAACACCCCTTCGCGCTCGCGGCGCACTTCCAGGGGGCGGCGCTCGCCGCCGCTCTCACCTCGGGTCAGCACGGCTTCCCGCAGCCGTCACCGCTGGCCACGCACCAGCCGAGGGACAGCTACCCGCTGTACCCGTGGCTGCTGTCCAGGCACGGAAGGATCTTCCCCCACAGGTTCCCGGGAGGTAGGTACTTACAAATTCCCTTTGAAAAAGTTCCAAGTTGTATGGGATTTTGGAAATTTTTTGAAAATTTGGAAAGAATGTGGTTTCCTTAAAGTTGATAAAGGATATTATTATAGAACCGGTCAGCAATATAAGCGTTCTAAAGCGACATAAGCCGGGTGCTAGGACGTTATGAGCGTCAACAATTACAAAAGTTCTAAACTATATAAGCACACGCAAGTTCTAATTTAATTACAAAGTGTTCTAAGTTTCAAAACAACCTACCATTGACACTTAGGTGATAAACATCTACTGCCTAACACTTTAACTGTCAGGCATGTGCAATTGTTTGTACTCCCAACAATTACAAGTGTTCTAGGAAGGAGAACTTCAGCACCAGTGTATATGATTTTCGACAATTTAGGTATAACTAGTGTAGAGGTGTATTAAACCACCGAAGAACATATTGAATAATTCAAATTGACAAGCCAGTCTTGGTATAATTATCAAGGTGATACATATAATAATCAGTGAAAGCAGTTATCGCTAACGAGAAAAAGTCATAGCAAAATCGCTTTTATCTTTGAGCTATGAGACAAAAAAGAAGAGTATCCTAAGATTCGATTTTTTTCCAAAGAATAACAACATGTTTTTGAGCCGAAGATTATACGTTAGGTTGCCTATCTTCAGTCGCGGTAGAAATGTTCATAATCTTAATGTGAGTCCAAATCTTTTTTATTCAATTTTCGTCTAGCACCGTAATCTCAGATCGTGCCTAGACGCTTAAAACTTAACATTTCAGCATAACCTATGTAGGAAGTTGGCACTTTTTTAAGCTTGCAAAAAAACCTAAAACAAATTTGTGGGTACGCTCAAGTGTAAACAGTTACTGTAATAATAATAATAATACCAATAATAATTTAATATCGTGTTAAACACACTTAAATCCAGTTGTCATTAAATACTTTATTCTTGGATTTATGTAATGGAATACGGTGTAAACAGGAAGTGATGTGCAACAATTTAATCTTTTCTGTTGTCCAGGACTAAATAGGACAAACATCAAAGGACTTTTTATTTTTTTCTGTACAAATTTTGAGGGTTGCTCCTATTTTAGCCAAAGCAAGTTTCTCTTAAAAGTGTGTAGGTTTCTCCAGGAACGCTGGAAAAATAAATCTAAAAATCTGAAATTTTCAGAATAGCAGGTATAACTATTTATTACATACCGGAGGTTCCTTTTTGAGCAATTTCGTGGCAATGATGGAGGATATGATCTGATTTGCCCATTATATCGCAGTTTTTATTAATGATTTTATGGTTACGAAGGCGCTATTTCTGATTTTGAGAATTCTTTCTGTATTACGACTTCCTGTTAACCTATTCCAAACCACAGCTAATGTGGCCGCTAACCGCAGCTACAATTGTTTGATTTATGAATGTGGTGGGTTCTCTCATTTTAAAATATGGCGGCGTAAAAATCCATCAAATTTAAAGTCCATTATCTTCTTAATTAGTTTATATTTTGTATTTTACATTTCCAAAGATGAGGGAACCAATCTGAAAAAAACAAGATATTAATTTATTGGAGAGAAAAGGATTTTTTGGGGAAAAAATGTGGGAGTAGCAGAAAAATCTTATATCAGACAGTGTAAATATTTGTCAAATTTGTAAACAATCATTGATTAATTAATATTAATTCTTTACAATTTTTTGCTTTAACTTTCAGGTGATGGATATTTTTTGGTTCACTTTGTTTATTCCATATATGTAGGTAAAGTGCAACCAAATCTACACCACCACTAACGACTAACGTAACGGCTAAGTTGTCTAAAATCCAGTGTTAGAGATATTGCGTAAAATATAGTTAATCATGTTGGAATGAGAAATAATATATCACATAAATCACATTTACAACGATAGAAGCTTTTAAAATATTTTACAAACTTGTAGAAAAAAAATTAATGTTTACTTCACTCTAGACACGGACACATGAATGTAAAAGCGCAAGTAATGATGTATGTTTTGACTTTTTTTAAGAGGTCATAACTTCACAAATTTAAATATTTACAAACAACTTATAATGTAGAGAATTTATTTTTTCTAAATGATCACCAGCAATAAATAAAAAGTCACTCAGGTATTTTTAATTTTAATGGTGCTTATATTAATTAAGTGCTGATTTAAATTTCAAGACTAAAATTGCGACTAGAATTTTATGATACAGCGTTGTGAATTTGTACTTTACGCCCCGCAGACATTCTCCAACCCCCGAAAATTTACGACCCACTAGGCCTAATTTTTGAGTGTGAGCCACCCCAAAGGGGGCAATTTGTTACACCCTTATAATGAAGTTATTTGATGGAGACATAGATACACCAGCCATCTGTAACGCGTAGGGGAGCGATCCGAAATTGGTTCGTGGTATCGTTATTTATTTAAGTGGTAACACCTTGTAAACGATAAAGTTAATTAACGTAGGCTTCTACTGATAATTACAACTACGTTTTTATTTTTTTTCCGGTGTGAATTACTTTATAAATCGGTTATTGATATTATTATGTAATTTTAACCACAGCCTTAACAATGAAGAATGAAGTGATGATGTCATGATGGTTGTGCAAAGCTTGCAGAGATGGACTGACTGTAATTTTAACTAGTGATTATTTAATATTAACAGGTTTTTCTGCCACAATTATTGGTAAATTATATCCCCGAGTAACCACAAATTGCTAAAAAAGCCTTGTATAAGACTTGAATTAGTTAAGCTGATGCTATGCGATTTGCCTGCGGATTATCAATTAGGTGTTTTGTAAATTTTTTAGTTTGTGTTTGTTGTTTTAGTGACTTTTGCATGTACGTATTTGCATTTTTTATGTAACGAGTGGATGATAGCTTCTGGGTGTTAACGTTATTTTAGCAAACGGATTTATGCCAGATGAATGTTACTTGCGTCACTTTTCCAGAACTACAGACTATGAATAATTATGTTAATTTTAATGTTAAAGAGATTATGATGCGACGAAGTACTGCCTATTCAGTGTACACTTATTCTTGCATGAGTTTCTCGACCGGGTTCCGACGGTTAGTAGTCATTGCGTTCACGCAGGATATTAAGTAACGTATTAATCATAATTACTGGAAATTTACTCAATAAAAGTTGCTTACCCACAGTGCTGCATTTAGTTCTTCCTTTATATTTATTGCGTTACGTTATAACAATGTTTTTTGAACGAGTACCTAAAAAAAAAATTAAATTATTACAACATCTATAGGTATTTCTCAAGAATTTCGAATATGAAAAAAGTATCACTTTTTTTGTTTTCCTTCAAAAAGAAGTGAGAATTTTTAAAAATAAGCCAAATTTTCTAATCTGGAACATAAGTAGCATCAAACAGTACAACAAAATCTTTAATAATGCGTGCTACCATGAGTATCAGCCAAAATTTCGATTTCGCACCCACCTTTCGACATTAGCCCTATAGCTGTCGATCAAACGCTTATTCTCACTTTGCTTGGTCCTCTTTAATAGGGGTCACAATCGCCCAAAACTGGAATCATTGATGTAGAGGCTGTTGCTTCTCGGTATTGTTAAAAAATTATACAGTTCATGAAGTATGTAACAATACAATATCTTCAGACATAACATCTCTACTTCGGTTAAACAAACAAAAGACCTGACAACTAAAGTTTTAACGATTTATTTAGAAATTTATACTTTTAAGTTATTTTTTTAACCCCTTGATTTCATTCCATTAATCATCACATGATCTCGTCACAAATTACCCACGTCACTAAACATTCGCCATTTTGTTCAGCCTAACACTTAAACCATGAAAACGGACCCGTCCCAAGGGTCCGATTTATCAGCATTTTTTATTTAACTACTCAAACTCATGAAATCACTATTGTTACCAATGCACTCTAGTTATACATTCATTTAACCACACATCTACCTTGACCAAAGCCGAACCCAAAAACAAAACATCCCATTTATTAATCTCATTAACTCGTCAAAAATATGTCGAGGTTTAACACCTAAACTAGCTCATTTTCTCAAACAATGTCGTAATGTCACGTCATACCACGCTAAAAAATTAAACATTTGACCCACATTTTGATTAATGCGGTAAATATAAGTGATAAACCGTTTAATTAAACGGCATGTCGTTATTAATTCCACCCAAAAAATTTTTCTTAATCTCAGTAGCGTTCACAAAAAATTAATTCAGCTCCATTTCCGGTAAAGTCGACGAAATATTCGGTGAATAAATGATGAAAGCATTAACATAACGAACGTTGTTTTTGGTCCGCCATCTTGAATTTTGGTAGCGCGGATTGTGGAACAACACCCTGTACCTATGTTTATGTATGTACACATGTCTGCTTGACGCGATTATAAAATTTAAATGTTAGAAGTTGTAAAAATTACCGAACTCGTGTTCAGGTTTCCTTATATGTACTTAAAGTCATAAATACTGCAAGTTCTTGCACTAGAACATAACACGAATAAACAAAGAAGTTGTTGAGGTCAATGGTTTTTTTCTGGAATAAATCTTGCACAAATGTGGATGGACGTGCATAAATGCCCATCTCGGGCGTACGGCGCTTTTATTATTGTCACTATTATTATTATTATTATGGCACGGCCTTACATTTGCACTTAACATGGCCTAACACATTTGCAAATTTCCTCGCAATTTATTTATAGGTGAGCGAAATGTCAGACACATAAATGTTGTAAAAAAGTAATAAAATTATAAGATCGTAAAATCGGGAAATAACAAATAAATCAAATTTTGGCGCGGAAACACGTTCAGTGTTTGAAATGATCATTGCAGTGTGTTGTCGCACCAAGAAATTTGTCTCTTTTTGGAAACATGGTTTTTTAGGTCACACCTGTTTGTAGTTTTGAATTGGTAATTTGTAATGGGCACGCATTTCCGGCGCTGGACTTATTATTTACAAACGATTGCTATTAATTAGTCTCAATTTTGAGATTTTCCGCTCGTTCGGTAACTTTATTGGCTTAGTAGTCATAGATTACATCTAGTTTTTTGGCAGGAATTTTTTACCACAGAATTTAGCACTCACTTTCGTAATTTTACAAAAACCCGCCGCTCTCGATTATGTTCTAAACGCCCAATTTATAAATAATTGGCGGTTACACGTTTTCATGAAAACACACATTAAGCCCAGCACCAACCATCCAAACTACCAATTATGGGCAAGCCACGATTTTTTCAAATCTACTTTTAAACGGGATTTAATTAAATCTCTACACAGCCATCAAATGGATTAGTCATACGTCAGATCGATCACAGCTCGAATATTTGACAGATCCATCGACCTAATCACCATCTAGTTACCGTGCATTTAAACCCAGCCAACTTGGAAACAAATTATCAACAATGTTTCCGTGTCGGAGCTCTTTCCCTTTTCCGGGTGTCGACAAAAAGCGTCTCTTGCATCATGAAACAACAAAAGTGAATTGCCATTTGCATGGCAAACCTCGGAGTTTACTCTCCATAATTAGGGCTTTTTTGAGCGAGCAAGCAATTACGCTATTAAAGTATTAATTTCAAGTCTTAAACATAATAACAGTGGTGCAGCTCCTAGATATAATTACGGCGGCGCTGCTAATGTGTAAATAATTACCTCGGTTCAAGGTATTTCACGATCGCTATCTCGCGTTTCCACCGAAAAAGGCTCACGGACAGGGACGGACCCGGCGAAATTCCGCCCGGAAGACCAGAGAAAGCCGCCAACTATTTGCAATGAATCACAGCTGCGGCACGATCTTATTCGAACAATTTGGTGTACAGTTTTACACCCTGAATATGATCTACAGTAACAGATTTTACCTTACAAACTTAAATTATCCAAACTAAAATGTTTAATTTAAAAAAATTGATCTCATGTGGTACAAACAAACAAATCCAGTTTGGAAACGTCAATAAATTAGTCAAATTTTGGTTAGCCACTGCTTAATCGTGAATTTTTAATTATTCTTTAAAATTACGATGAAATCGGCAAAAGACTGATCAAAAATTTTTTTAGTGTCACTTTGTGTTATAGCCCTACATTTGTGTGACATTTTATTGCTTTTTGCCTTCTGTACGAAATAGTGTGCACCAACGTAATTAAAATCATGTCACTTATTAGTGCCTCGAAGTTTATTGCCCCACTATCAAAACCCAATTATTTAATAATTAAATTAGATAATTAATCGTCATAGACATACAACGGACAGGTGTGTGCCTACGGATCCGTTATAAAAACCTATTTAGATTTAAGTGGATAAAATAGCATTATTTTATGCCCCATCAGTGACTTGATTGGTGCGCTTTTTTCGCCTTAATTAAATTAAGCTCTCAATAATTTGACACTCAAATTAAACAAAACGGGCAAGTTTCGACTCAATCGAAGATCGCGCGAACAAATTACCCGAGCGCGCGCTCGAGTGCTTTTGTCGCAATTTGGAAAAACACGTGGTAATTGTTGCACGTTTCTAGGAATTTCTTCCGCTAATCTCGACGAAATTACGAATATGAAATATACCTCCACTTAGCTGTAATCCTCAAGGCAATTATCCGTAATTACAATCCTCATCACTTAGCTAAACACATTATGAAGATGTTCCGATAGGCCGGAAAAATCCCACGCTCGTTTATCGAAGAAGCGCTTTTTTTGAGAAATGGCTCTGATTTCAATTTTTACGTTGGGCCACCAATCGGCGGCCGTTTAGGAACGTTTAATTACGTCCGCCGAAGGCCGAAAAACGGCTGGCTAATTACGGCCAAGTCGCACCATTATACATGCGAGAGAGTAATCTAACATGTAAATGTATCCTTAGAAGCTCACAGTAAATTAGGCACGCAGGAAAAAGGAGCAAGCAAACGCCTCGGCCCGAATTATCATAATTTGTGAACGTATTAAGAGGGCCAGTGATTAAGAGGAGGCCAGGGCCGGACGGCGTACTTTTCGACACTAATTACTAACCCGGGGTTTGATTTTATTGTTCCATTCTGATTTATCACATTCTTAACCAAATCTGCCACAAGCTGTGTACTGGTAGCATCTATTTTCCTCGTGTGAATTCACGAATGAATGCATTTTTACATTTGCTCTGGTAATTTAAAAAAAAAACCTGTAGCAAGTCGTCAATGGTTTGTATAAAATGTAACGAAACAAAAAGCGCGACACTTGATACAGAATATCTAACTGAGAAAGGTTCACTCCTGCTAATTGATGACTATGTATCAATATGTTTAAACTCCTATAGTAACAGGATCTCTGAAACATTGTTTATTTTCTCTTTCATTCATATTACTTTACAAATCTCCAACGGTACTCCATTACTAATTTATATAAAATTATATAAACGAATTTTGCATATTTCTTACACAACATAACATCACCAACTTGTTCTATTAATATATTGTATTACTTAATTAATGACTAACACCAGTTTTTTATCATTGTGTTTCATTTTATTTACCGCAATGTATTTTTTTTTTATTTTCGTCTTTCATTCATCTTTTTATGTCGTTTTTTTTTTCAATTTCCAACGTGGTACTAAATATTTTGTTAATTGTTAAAACCATGTTAAAACACTGGAAAGTGATACCAAGAGATTTTCCTTTTTTTGTCGTAGGTACTGGATTTTAAATTTAACCTATGTTACTACATAATTTTTCTTCTTTTTTACTTGTTTGCAACTGCAGTTATGTAATAAACCGTTACTGAGTTTTTGCTTGTTTGTTTTTTGTCATTAAAATTTATTTGGTTCTATGATGATAGCTGTGGCTAAAGTCACGCAAATAGTGTGGGATTTCTTTTAATCACTTCCTTGACATTTGACGTTCACAAATCAAGCAAATAGTGACTTTATACTTAAAAAAAAGTTTTGTAATAACCAGAAAATACATAATTAAGAGCTTCATTTCCAAACTGCTTGCAGTGATGAATTAAGTCCTCTAAAACTAATATATGTATTTTAAAAGTATTTGATAATAGTGATTCCAAAATTATGTTTGATTATTTGAAAAAATACGGAGTGTACTCTGTCATTTGATTAGTGTTGTCTATTCTTTATTAATGATAAAAGTAATGGACTTAAAATATAAGACGACAAATAAAAAAATTCTTGTTGAAAGGCCTTAATTAAACATTAATAATAATAAAAAATAATAAAAACTTATGGGTGGAAGCGACGTCCAGTTTCATCCAAGAGATGTGGCAAAATAGCATCTGACATTGCGAAGAAATATTCATAGTATTTGGCGCTATGGGAAATTTCAGAGTCCAAGACCAGGGGCGGATGGGACCCTCTGGAAATCTGGAATTTTCCAGAGGAGTCAGTAGCTGTGGTACATCAAAGAATCCGCGTCCGAATCTAAATTTTATATACCTACTTTTAAATGAATTAAAATTTCGGCCTTTCAGACTCCGGAGTAAATTTTTCCGGGACTTATTCAGCAGGTCCTATCCATCCTTGTCCAAGATATACCACGAATTATTATAAATTTAGCCCGGGATTCAATTTCTTCTTGATTTGATTGTTCAGATGAGGACCAGATATGGAATTAATTGAAGGCAACAGTTTCATTTAGATATATTTTACCCTTTGAGAGCCTCGTTAAATTTTAA